CATTAGATCATTTAATTAATTAAAAGACATTAATATACAGTATATATATATATATATATATATATCCTGTTTATTTATATATATTAAAGATATATTTTATAAATTAAATTACCTAAAATATTTGACTGTAAATTTTCTGGAAAAAAAAGGTACTACTACTAAGTATTTTCAGATTTCATTCCTCAATGAGGTCATATTGGTCCCTACATTGTTCATATACCATAAAGCTAATGAAAAATTAGTGTTAACGAAATCAAATTCAATTCGTAAAAATAGTTAAAGTTTAGACAATTTATTGATCTGTTTATTTATAATAAAATTTACTTCTTTTATTTGAAGTTCGATTGAATTATCTCTTATAATCATAAAAAGAAAAAATTATTTTATTAGACATTAAAAATTTATAAAGTTATAATAATAAAATTGTTTTTTTAAAAAAACTGGGGCTGGTCGAATTATGATTTGCATTTTAACTCATTACAACATCAATAGCTTTTGGATTGATCAATAGTAATATTGAAAAAGAAAACTAGATAATATATAGTATAGTTTACCTAATTTTATAGTGTTAAGAATTAATTACATTATTTTTTTTCAAACTACAAAAGTTTCTTAAATTTTATTGATTTCAGATGCATCTCTTTATTTCCGGATGCATCACTGGACTTCTTGATACATTAGCAAACATCCGGACACATAGATAAGAGATATATTCAAAACGAGAGAGAAGTATACATCACTAGACTTTCAGATATATTAGTAGACATTCGAATACATAGAGGAATGATGTATCCGAGAGGAGGATAGGAATGTATCGGAGAGAGGTGAGTGATGTATCTGAGAGAGGACTTTTTAAATTTTTTTAAATGATAGACAATTTTCGAGATAATGAAAAAATAATATTTGTATTTAAATAATTTTTCTTAATATATATGCTAATTTCCGTCATATTCTGAACTTCTGAATCCTCATATCTAAAGTCACATAATTAATAACTTACGTATATACCATATCTTCTCTAATCACCATTCTTAATACTTCTTCACACTACCTTTATAATAAAAAAAAATTACTCTTTAAAACAAACTTAAATATCTTATTCCATGTATGTGGTAAAGGAATAAGGAATTAGGCTTTAATTTGGCAGTGTTTGTTGGAACTTTACAATAATTTAATTTGTGACATATTTTGACAGAGCTAATATAAGTCGTGAATATAAATTTGTTTAATAATAATAATTATAAAAAAAAAACATAATATGGGGTAATAGTACCCACTCCTTAGTGTGTTATATCCATAATTGATTTATAGTTTCACCACATACATTTTTGTTTATTTTTGCTTTGCCTCGTGGATTCCATTAGTCCATATATATCTTTTTCTTTTCTTCCATATCACAACTTGTCTTCACTAGATCTTCTAACCCTAGATTTCTATACATCTATCAAATAATAATAACCTAAGCTACTCAAACTCCACATATAAGACAAGAGACAATTGTGTAGGTGGGAAACGCTTTTCACCTTAAATTTAAGCTAGCGTTTAGTCTCAAGTTTTCAAATATTTTTGGTAAATTATATTGAGTATATTTTAGGGTTTAACAAACATAAAAATCATATTGGCGCTCTATAGCTGTAGTCTTGTTGTTTGCATCAGATCGGTATAAAAATCGTTGGCATCTGATTTGCATAAATCGCAACAATTTGTATGAATCGAGCGACTGTGTCTATGAAAATTTTATGTTTATGTATATGTTGTTTGTGTTTGTATATGTGCATAAAATTTGAATTAATATAAAGAGGCGAAGTGTTTGCTATGAATTATAAGTAAATGAAATTGTGGTTAAAATATTTAATTTGAAATGATAGTTTGCTATTTTTTATAATTTTTTTCAATTTGTTTTACTATTTCAAAAAAATAATTTCTACCCATAATTTTTAAAAATTATTAAAAATACAACTGAAATTGTATTAATATTTTATAATAAATATATTCTGTTGAAAAATAACCTTATAATATAACGGATAACAACATAACAATAGAGGCAAGACAATACATTAATCGCATACTCAAACTTATCACTAATTCAGTTATAATTATAACTCATTAAACACAAATTATTCCTTTTTTCTCAATTTTATTACTCAAGAACTCAATTTTTTTCGGAAGAAATAGTGATAAATATTGATTGAAATTAATAAATAATGAGTCTTTTATTTTAAAATAAAAGTTTGTGATAATTTTTATTTTTTTTAAATTCTGAAATATGAAAACTTTCAAACACCACTTCCTAAACTTTTTTTTTAAATATATTTTGAATCAAACGGATCCTAAAAGTTATTAGTTCGAAATTTTCATGAAGGTAAAAGGCAAACCAACGCAAACAACACTCAATATAATGATTTTGCCAAAAAATTTCATCAAAATGATTTTCTATTATATTATTTTTACCTTTCTTATTTTAATACCTTTTAACTAGAAAATAGAAAAAAATTACTTAATTTTAAAATTAAAAAAATTAAAAAATACTATAATTTTTTAAAAAAATTTCTAACTACTAAGGTGGTAAAAGAACATGGACCTTTTTCTTCGTTACTTTTACTTCTTTTGACATGGTATAAATAACACTTTCGGAACTACTATTATATTATTTATAGGAGACAAAATTTTATTCATATGAATTTAATATTAGAACAAAGAAATTTGCCATAAAATTTTATCAGAATGATATTTTATTTATGTTATTTTATTATTTTTTATATTTTTATTTTTTAATTTTAATATCTTTTAATCAAAAGATAAAAAAAATATTTTCGAGTAAAAAATATTCTAAATTTTTTAAAATTCTGATTAAATAAAGATATTTTTAAAATTAATAATTTAAACATAACTAATAAGTTTTTAAATAAATATAGAATTTTCATCAAAACTTAGTGACGTCTATTGAACCCACAAGTTATACGTTGGCTTTATACTCAATTGTTATTGGTAAGTTTTAATTTTAGTCCTCTTGTATTTCACTATTAAATAAATTTTCAATTATGTATTGTGCGTATTCATATCCTTTTTACATAAGGAAATACATTAAATTTGAACAGTTTTTTTTAAAGTATATTACTATTAAATAAATATGAAGTAAGAGTACGAGATTAGCATTACATAACACATGACTAATTAAAATGAACAATTGATAAAGAAAAATTCTATTTATTCACAAATAATGGAATAAAAATAACTTTTTTTTTCAATTAATGATAAGTTAAAAGGTCAACTTTCACATATAGCAAACAAAATTTATATTTGTATGCTATAACGAAGTTTGCATAATTGTGTTTTATTGCAAACATATATAACTGTATAATTCGTTATACATATACAACTGTATAATTCGCTGGCCGCGCTACATATACAATTGTACGATTCGCTGGTCTAAATTGTATAATTCGCTGGACTCGCTGCAATTGTATAATTCGCTGGCCTATTTCACTGCAATTGTATAATTCGTTGGTCTATTTCGCTGCAACATGTGTATAAAATTTGCTTTGCATACAATTGAATCGAAGCAAAATATTTATATATTTTATAATTATAAGTGTATAGGAAGAATATATATGTTTTTCTCTCGCTTTATACAAAAAGAGAAACACAATTTATACATTTCTGTTGTATAAAACGGAAGATAATTGTATTTCACTGTAATTTTATAATTCACAATTGTATAATTCGATAGCCTTTTCGCTGTAATATTTGTATAAAATTTGCATTTGTATACAATTGAATCGAAGCAAAATATTTGTAAATTGTATAATTAAGTGTATAGCACGAAGATAAATGTTTTTGCATGTGTATATACAATTTTCTCTCGCTTTATACAAAACAGAAACTCAATTTATATTGTATAAAGCGAGAGAGGCAAGCAGAGAGAGAGTGGCGACCGACAAACTTTAGCAAACGTTTGCTATGGAGCACAATTAAATTAAAAAATAACTATTCAATTTATTTTAGGTTATTATTAGTTTACTATTATATATATACAATTATCCCTTATTAAATATGTTTAGTCAAATACTACGAAATCTAAATAAATTTGAGGAATCAAAAATACTGATTTCCTAAACATATAACATGTCACAACATGATAAACCACATTAATATTATATTATACCCATGTTTACATTATCAATGTACAAAATAATTTAAGTCTTAATTGCTTTCAACGAAATTACAATTCACTAATATGATAAATTTATTAGCCTACATTAGTTGAATCCTAAAATTAGCCAGTTAGTTAGTCATTAATCATAATACTCACCTCAACTTTTTATATAGTAATCCGTTTTAAGTAAGAGTTAATTAAAAATTAAGGTGCAATTAATCTTAAGGAGAAAGATGAAGCAAAACTAGTTCACATGAAACTGGTTTTGTTTAATTGTTAATTTGGTATATTTCCACCTAATTATTCAATGCGTAAGTAAGAAACAAACCCCTTTGGCAAAAATATTGGGTGACAACTTGCTAATGTGATAAAACAACTCTTACACGTGAACCTCTCTCCAAGCTCAATTAGTTAAACGTTACACCACCACCAACAACACGATATAGAAATCGCGGTACGGTAATGAAATTATTTCGCCATCAATTAGAGGTATTGAATTTCAATTTTGACTAGATACACCCAATTAAGTCACGTGATTTAAATTTAATCGAGATTTCAACAGCGAGAAATGACGATAAACAAATAAGATGCACCATAAAATGAAATTCATTAATACACGACCAACCATATGTACCTAGAAAAATGATCTTATTGGTGGACCCAAAAATTTTCAACATCTAAAGCCATTCGTTTTTATAATACAAACACAAAGTCCGCATTCTGCCAAACACCATAACCTAAAAATAAAATTGTATCCAACAGCGATACATGCACTCGCACAAATATATTTACAAAAAGAGAATCTAAATATTAATATATTTTTTTTCGAATGTGGGACATTATATGAATTAACAATAATAATAATAATAACCAAAATTAAAGAAAACCCCTTAATACAGCAAATCACATTGAAAATTAATATTCATAAGCTAATAATAATCAGAATATTTTTCTCTTGATTAGAAAATAATAATACTAAAAGTTAACGCCAAGCTGACGCGACGGTGAGAGTCCGTCCCATCCAACCAAAGCAAATACCTCCACTTTGTTCGTTCACGGTGAAGCCCGGGTTGCCACGTGTACCCGAATTAAGCTTCGAACGCAAAGAATTCGCCACGATTTGACTAACGGGCTTCGGCCCGAACCCAGCCATGCTCATACGGGCCCTCCACTTCCCAAATACCTCGCATCTTTCAACGCGGTCCCTCCCTTCGCACGCTACCGAATTACACATTTTGCGACTCAGTCCCTCTTCGATCCTGACTCGGTCCATGCTGTCTCGTGGAACTGTAGCATCCAGCGAGTCGAATATCGCACCGTAATGCCCACACGCTTCGTTCACACGCGCTAGAAACGGCGCCGTGTTGCCGTTCATATCTTGCTCCACCACCGTTACCACCTTCGGTGATAACGCTTTTACCCGACGGAGAAGCTCGTCGCGGAGATTCTCTGTTGTGACGCTTTCGTCGGGTAATCTGTATAATTTGAATGCGAAATTAACTGCTAATGCATCATCAGGGTCGAGGCCTAAGTTTTCTCGGCTCAAATCGGCTACTTTACAGGACATTACATTGAAATATAAGCAGACCCCGAGCCGATTAGCGACGGAGTTAAGCTCCATGTGGATGGAATTGAGTCTCTCGTCAACTCCGCCGGCTTGTTCTGTGAAAGCAGTGATTTTTAAAACGGCGGGGTTGTTTGATTTCTTGGCAGCCAGTGCATGCAGTAAATGCAAGTACTGTCCGCCTTGGCCGATGTCGAAATCAATGACGTGAAGCTTGTTAAATGGGTGGTCAGCTACAGCTTCAAGGATGGCTAGATTGGCAGCCATGAAACCGAGCTTGAAACAGGGAGATACCTCGTATAGATTGTGAGTAGTCTCTGTATGTTCTTTGCTTTGCAGCTCCAGGACCGGCGGTGGGTAATCGACGGGGTTCAAGCGCGACCGTAAAGCGGCGACCATGTATGCCGTTAGCCGCTGGTCGGAGGAGCCTCTGATATTGGCAACTTGTGATAGGCGCGTGAGGATTTCCAGTGCGACGTCGTTTTTTCCATCGTATATTGCTGTGGCTGCTTCTATTATAGACTGTTTGGGACAAGATATTGCCGGAGATTCTGTTGAAGAAGCACACGAAGAAGTCGAAGAGGATGGAGATAGTGATGCCAGTTTCTGAATTTGGTTTTGGTTCTGAGAGGGGCTAATCAGATTCTGTATCGTCTCCGACCACTCGTTGTTGGTGATGACCGAAACTGTATCGCCTTCTTCTTCATCGTTGTCGTCTAAGAGCTGTTTCTCAAGCTCTTGAAGACAATTCATCATTTTTTTATCAGATTCCTGTACTCCGATGGTTGCTCCGTTTTGAACCGGATTTAGAGACGAAACCCCTGTAGAATAATTCTGAATACCCGGAGATAAAAACCCACCCATATTAGCAGGCTGCTGCAGAACCGGTAGAGCCTGGCGCGTGTTCATCATGGTGGATACATTTGAATTCGAAGATGAAATTGAAGCAGCAGCGGCAATCGAAAAATCTACAGGGGAAAGAGGAGACATTGGGGAAGACTGCTGATAACTTCTAGGCTTTACGTTACGGAGATAAAACCCAATTCCTTGCTGCTGCTGCTGTTGAAGTAGCATCATCTGCTGCTGCTGTTGTTTCTGCTGTTGAAGTTGTAGAAACTGCAATTGCTGCTGTTGTTGAAACTCCGCTAGAGATCGCTTCCCCATCAAATTAGGTCTCCCTTGATGAACCATCTGCGTAACCGGGTCAGGCAAAATACCCGATAGCGGCGACGAATAAGGCCTTTGTGAGTTGTTGTTATTCATGGTAGATCTCCCACCGGCGCCGTAAATCTCGCCGGAGAAACCTGACGACATATTTCAACAAAATTCCGGCCAACACAGCTTTATGATCAGCAAAAGTTTGGATCTTTAACAAAATTCTGCATTACAGAGAAAAGGTAATTTCCTTATAGAGAGAGAAAAAATTAGCTTATTGTTAAGCAATTTGATTGATTCTTGTCATGATTATAAGTTGGGTAGTTTTGTGGTCTCTTGTATGCCATATTTAATTTGAAATTCCTTGTGTTTGGTGCTATTCTCTTAATCTCAACCGTTCAAAATTTCTCATTAATTTCATTCTATATCTGATCAACGGTCAGATTTACAAGTTAGATGTACGGGTTCTTCACTGAACTTTCAAAGGTCCTTGGATATGGGGCCGGATAAGGACACGGTAAACCACGCGCGATACTGTAGAGCGTGGACGCCACGCGATGGGAAAAAAGGCAAAGAAACTAAGAATCTGGAATGATGTTTAAGTAGTCAGTGTAACTGACAAAGTTGTTAATTAATCATGTCCAAGGTTTCAACACTAAATTTTAATAAGAGTGTCTATTAAAATCTTAACAAAAAGCAAAAAAAGAGGATGCTTGTGATTTCAATTATTTATCGGTCCCATCTCGTTATAATCTGATTAAATTCAAATTCAATAAAGCACTCTATAAATTTTGGATTTTATAAAAATAATTTAAATTCGCGCGATTAAAGATGAAAGGATACCATGCTGGTGTCCCATATGTAAAGTGGTAATTAAACAGGCTGTGTTTGAAATTATATTAAGTTTACTGGGGTGAGTGGAAGTAATTAGAGAGGATATTTTGAATAATAAAGTTTAATTAGTTAATTGAAAAAAAGAAGAGTAGTGGTCAAATCAGTAAGCAGATAAAAGTATGAAATAGGTAGAAGGTACAAGTCAAGTAGCTATCATGTTTTAACATGCATGTCACTAGCTGCATACCACCTTTATCATTCTATTGAAGTGAGAGTTCATTTTGGTCATTGATTAGAGTTATCATATTAGTAAAAATTTTGCATTTGTTGATTATTGTTAGGTAAAATGGTCTGATAGATTTTTAAACTTATATCAATTTATATTTTGTACTTATACTTTGGTTATCTAAATCTTTAAATTTAATAAATCTCGATGACCATTGACCAAGTTAATGGTGTCTTTAAAATGATTGAGTTGACAAAAGTGTGAGACATTACGCATTTTAAAGCGAGTAAACAATTTTTTAGGTTAAAAAATAATAAAATTAAAAAAGAATTTTCTTTTAAAAAAAACAATTAATTAAAAAGATATTTTTTCTTCTCCAAAGCTAATTGCTTTCCTGGCAATTGTAACCTTTTTTTTTCTTCTCCATATTTTCAATCTTTCACGGCAATTTCTGGATGAATGTTTTAACTCAAGAAGATCTTCTTCTAATCCCTTTAACTTGTCTTCTTCTAATATCTTTCGCTTGCAATTTTCGAATATCTTATTCGATAACTTAAGAAATCTCTTCCAAGTCTCCTTCTAATCCCTTAAACATTTCTTTTTCAATCAATTTTGATAACTCAAGAAAATTTCAGGTAAAATTTGAGTAAATTTCAACAAGTTTCATGACATATATTGGTGTGACATTGTATTTATAGGCAATTAAGAGTGTAAAAATAGCAGAGTGGCTCAAAAATCTCATTTTAATTGAGTTTAAGGGTCCAGATGACAAAGAAATAAATAGAAGGGTTCAAAATACAAGCTGATACAAGTATAAAGGTCCACCAAACCATTTCGCCATTACAACTATGATATTAATATTTTTTTTTAATTTTACGCGTATTATTTATTATGAAAATTCCATTTAAATTTGTTATTTTTTAAGGCAACGCATTTGATTCAATGAACACCCCATCACGGAATCATTTATTTTCAAGTTCTCGCCTTCATTCCATGAGAACACAGGGTCAAAAACTTATCATACTCTAATTCTTTTAAGTGATAAAGATAAATGTCTAATGATATTATTAACATGTTGTACTTGTTTCGTAAGGTTTATTATTTAAAATTTCTTAAAAATACACATATTTTTTAAAAAAAATTTATCTTAGATAGTTCTTAAACATTACAATTGTTTTTCATATTTTTAAAATTTTATGATAAAAAAACTATATATTGAGACGAAGAAATAAATAAATAAGAATCATATTAAAATTAGATATAGGGAGTTTGGATTATTTCTTCAAATGTTTAATCTACTATGTTTGAAATTATTATGCATTATATAATTTTATTTGGAGTATTGAGAGAAAAATATTTTCATTAACTAGCTTACCCCTAATTGAAGAGGTAAAATTTGTTATCTTAATATTTTTGTATTAGTTATTTCATTTTCGTATGATATATATAATATAATTTTAAATTAAAGATATTATATAGTAAATTAAACTATCTTGTATTATATGATCTTAAATTAAACATATAATGTGAAAAAGTAAAATTAGAAAATTATTTTAAGATATATTTTTTAAAATTAAATAAAAGCTATAAAATAATCAATATAAAAATGGAAATGCCTCTTTTTTTGATCAACAACCAACAACCCCGTGTTTTTCATTTCATTGGAAACGAAAAAGAATGAAATTAAAGTTGTGGTCACATACAACTTTAGAAATATTTATGTTTAAAAATATATACGTCAATGACAAAATAACAAATTTGAAATCACATTATTTTTATAAAACTATAATAATTTTTGAAATATAATACAAAAAAAAATACATATTGATTAATCGAAATGGAAAAATACTTGCTTCTCAAATTGTGCATAAAATTTTTGAATAATGAGGAAAACATTTTTTTTTCTCACGGCTTAGTATGTTAAAGAAAAAAGTAAATGATTTTATTCATTGATTTTTATTAATCATAAGTGGTTTCCACCTGTTAATGATGATAATTAATTGAGGGGCATCGCTAATTCTCCACTCTATTTTACTCTCAAAAAATAAAGTTTTGTATCTTTTCGGACAATAAACTTTAATTCAATTCTCTATTTTACTTTTATAAAACAAGTTTTTTTTGTCTCTCTTCTTAATATTATATTATTATTTCTATTTCATTCTTATTTTTTTATAATATAAATTATTTTATTCTAAATTTTTAAATACCATAAATTGCATGAATATTATATAATATATTGATTTAAGAACAGATTCAAATAAAAGTCAAATACGAATACATAAATATTCAATTTTTGAAATTATTACGTTGCTCACATTAATGCATTTTTCTCCTTAATTTTATTATGTCTATCTAAAAATTATTCAAGTCCGAGATTTTCATCTATCACCATTTTTATCGATGGAGATGGAGTCTGTACAACAACTTGTTGGTTCATTAAGATAATGTTCATTCTTAATTATAACTTTGTATAGTATATAATACATGTAGTTATTATATGATATAGCACTTCCTTTCTCTGAAAACGTGACGATCTTGCAAAAAAAATTTTAAAATAAAATTACATAGAGAAAATCTTATTCCGATCAAATTCTGTGTAAATTTTTTTTTCCTATTAATATTTCTTTATGGATTAATTTATTTTTCTAATATGAAGGAATTCTTTTTTTTTTTACGAGAAAAGACAAAAATTACCATGAAAGAATTCAAAACTCTTTTCCCTACGACCCTACCCCATTTTTTTTAAAAAAAAAAAGGAAAAAACAGAGGGAAGCGCGTGAGATTGTGGAGGATACAGCGCGTGAGACTTAGTTTGATCACCTGAACACAACAGTTTATGGAGACGCCTTTTGTCAAACGCCAAAGGACAATTACACTTTAATCCTCCATTTATACTTTTCCCTTTTAATTATTTATTTTTCTCAAATAATACCATTTCAATAATATGAAGATATATTTTTTAATATAATCTTTTAAAATGTTTTTCATTATATGACTAATAATATTTTTATTTTTTTTAAAAAATGAATAGTGACTTTAGTGCTCTGCTTTTTCAACTCAATAAATTCAATACTCTAAAAAGTTCTTTTAACACAGTAAAATTTTTTACTTCACGGCCCGTTTGTATGGGCTTAATAAAAGTAGCTTTAAAAAAATACTTTTTAAAATGCTGAAACTTACTTTTAAAATAAGCAGTTATGTGTTTATATAAAAGTGCTGAAGTTGCTATGTCAAACGTGAAAAGGGAAAAATAGAAAAAAGAGATGTTAGGGTTATGTGGGTAATTTGGAGATTGTATAAAAATATTAAGGGCAAAAAGATAAAATTGTGGTCAACTTAAAACAGCTTATAAGCTAAAAAAAAACGCATCTACCCCAGCTTTTAATTTTTGACTTAAAATAAGTTATTTTGAGTATTGCCAAACAGCTAAATAAGTCAAAAACCAGCTTTTAAATCAGTTTGACTAACTTTTAAGCTGAGCCAAATAGGCTCTCAGTCTTTTAAATCATGAATTTGTGTATTCTTTTGTTTGTTGTTTTATTGTTTTTTTTCTACATTAAGAATAGAATTGTGAATTTGTGATATGTTATTTACTGAAATTTCGTATTTAAAATGCAGAATTCAATTAATTTGTAAAGCTAAGGGTCATTTGGTATTTGGTTTTGAGCTAAGTTAATCATTTTTTACTAATACTTGATTATTTTTTTTTTTCATTTGTCTTGATTATATTTGACTACCCATCTTATTGGTTTGTAAAATTATTGTATCACGAGGTTGTTGTAGAGTGATAAATATTTTTTTATCAGTAATTAAGGTTTTGGATTTAAGGCCTATGGATACGAAATCCCTTTTATTTGAAAGCATATTATCCTCAAACGATGGATTTTACTTTGTGAATATTGATTTAATCGAAATTCAATATAAATATCGATCACCGAATTAAAAAATAAAATCAAGGTTAAGTCACATCAACAGCCTATCACCGGTTGACTCTTTCAATAGCACCGGCACGCGTCCTTACTTTCTTTACGTATTGAACTTTGTGAAGAAAACATAGTAGAAGTTATACACCGCCCAAAAAATGGTAGGTTTCATATTCGAACCTAACGAATAAAATCAATTTTTAGGTGAAAAGTAATTATTTCGTTATAATTTATATAATTTATATGATTTATTTTAATTGATATAGAGTTAAAATATATT